CTACCCTACTCCTCCCGCCAGCAGCCCCAGCGCTTCCAGCGCTCCCAGCAACCCCGACGAGGACTGCGAGGAGAGCAAGACTCACCCGGGCTTCCCTCAGTCTACTCCCGGCAACCCTGGCCAGCCCGTCAACCCCGGCAAGCCCGACCACTCTGGCAAGCCCCAGAGCGAGGACTGCGACGAGACCAAGACTCACCCGGGCTTCCCTGAGAGCACTCCCGGCTACCCCGTCCCTCCCGCGGGCACTTCCGTAGAGACCACTCCTGCGGTCCCTACTGCTCCCGCCCAGACCTCTGGTAGCGAGCTGCCTGGCACCACCGGACCTGTCGAGTCTGCTCCTGTCCCTACCGTCCCTGCCGGCGGCGAGACTTCTCCTGCCTACCCCCTTCCTCCGGCTGAGACTGAGACTGCCCCCGTCCCCACTGTCCCTGCCGGCAGCGAGACTGTCCCCGTCCCTACCGTTCCCGCTGGCACTGAGACTGTCCCTGTCCCTACCGGCCCCGCTGGCGGTGAGACTTCTCCTGCTTACCCTCTTCCTCCCGCCCAGACCTCTGGTAGCGAGCTGCCTGGCACCACCGGACCTGTCGAGTCTGCTCCTGTCCCTACCGTCCCCGCTGGCACCGAGACTGTCCCTGTCCCTACCGGCCCCGCTGGCGGCGAGACTTCTCCTGCCTACCCCCTTCCTCCGGCTGAGACTGAGACTGCGCCCGTTCCCACTGTCCCTGCCGGCAGCGAGACTGTCCCCGTCCCTACCGTTCCCGCTGGAACCGAGACTGTCCCTGTCCCTACCGGCCCCGCTAGCGGCGAGACTTCTCCTGCCTACCCTCTTCCTCCTGCTGAGACTTCCGGCAGCGAGCTCCCTGGCACTACCGGCCCTGTTGCCACCGAGACTGGCGTTGTCCCTACTGGCCCCGCCGTGACCGAGACTGGTGTTCCTACCAGCGTTGCTGCCACTGAGACCGTCCCTGTTTCCACTGGACCTGCTGAGACTGAGACTATCCCCGTCTACCCCGTTCCTCCTGCGGAGACTTCTGGCAGCGAGCTTCCCGTCACTACCGGCCCTGTTGGTACCGAGACCGCTCCTGTCGCCACTGAGACCGCGACTTCTCCCGTCGGCACCGAGACCGGTGTTGCCCCTACCGGCCCTGTGATCCAGACCTCGGTGGTCCCTGTCTACCCCGTCCCTCCTGCCGAGACCTCTGGCGGCGAGCTCCCCGTCACCACCGGCCCTGCTGTCACCACTGGCGTTCCTCAGTTCAGCACCTCGACGATCTTCACCACCTCAGTCCGCACCATTACCCAGTGCCCTCCTGAGGTCACCAACTGCCCCACTCGTCCCAAGACCGTGACTGATACCATTGCCATCTCTACCACTATCTGCCCGGTCACTGCCACTGAGACTCCTGGCCAGCCCGCTCAGCCTACCGGCCCTGCCGGCGGTGCTCCTGCCAGCTCCGGCTCCGGCTCTTCTCCCAGCGGTCCTGCCGGTTCTTCTCCTAGCGGTCCTGCCGGCTCTGCCCCCAGCGGCCCTGCCGGTTCTTCTCCCAGCGG